AGTAAGTAACTTACTTCTTTATAAGAGTTAGGAGATTAGGGAACGCTAAGCTGCGTCATCTGTGGCTATTAATAGCTACTAGAACCCCATCTATCTTTGGAACACAACCCGCCCTTACATCTCACCCGGGTCTCCTTGTGGTTTGCCCATTTGCTTTTCCGGCACGCATCACCTCATCCACCAACAAGAGTTGGCTGGCCAAGACGGTTGCGAGGTACAAGGATTGCCGTTTGACACGCACGTTGTCCCAGACACCTTCATCGGCGGGGAGCATGGGTTCCGCCGGTGGTACATGTCAAGCCGACGGGTAGCTCGGAGCGCCCGTTTCCTCGGCTTGAGGATGGGGGTTCTTGGACATCAATCCCGAGTTTTCCGCCAATGTCTTGGGGATGATCAATAACGCTTCGGCAAATGCCTCCACTCCCAACTTTGCCTTCCCCTTGGTGGAGGGCACAACTTTGCTGCGTAAGTGCATGTATGCGGCCAATTCAAAGGCACCACCTCCGGGGACGACGGCGGCATCTTCAATGGCATTCTTGACGGCTCGTAGGCCATCTCGAATGGCATCCTTCATTTGATCCATGACGAGTTTATTCGGTCCCTGCAAGAGAAGCGTGCACGATTTGGGGTGTTTGCAGTCTTCCACAAAGGTGAATTTGTCGTCTCCAAAGGTGACTTCCGACACCTTTCCGGCGTATCCGAGCATGGATTCTTCCATATCTTCCAGACTGTGAATGGGCGATCCTCCACATGCCAATGTGAGTCGTTCCATGTTGCGTCGTTTGGCCCGACGCAAACAGAGGATTCCTTCCTTGGCAAACATGTCCAAACTCATGGGATCGATTCCTTTTTGATTAATCATGACAAAGGATTCTCCTTCCTTGCAGACCTTGCGTTTGAATTCGACAATCAAACGGCATCGTTCGTCGAGCCATTTGCGTTCGGATTCGACGAGTTTTTCTCGTTCTTCGGCATTGGAGTAGAAGAATCCCGACTGGACTTCGGTCTTTTCGTACTCCAAGGAAACGTTGGCGGTCATGATGTGGCAATTTTTGACTAGCGTGGGCATGTTGGGATGACGAGCTCCATGATCCAGGACCATCCCTTGAGGGGACAGCCGTGGGATTAATGATTTTCGGGTTGTTTGGTTCTTCGTCGTGGAATTGTGTGGGTGTGTGTGGAATGCCGGTGTTGATGATTTCACGCGATTGCAAATCGAGGGGGTGTTGATGTTCCGCTTCCATGTCTCGATGGTCTGATGGAATCACCACGGAGGGCCATCTGTGCATAATATTTATTTGTGAAGAGAAAACAAAAAGGAGCAAATTGGATGTGAGTTGTTGCTTATGTGTAGCTTCATGTGAAGAATTTGGATTGGGTAGAGCATACGCACCGAATCGGCCAAAGAGGGATCCAATTTGGTTCGTAGCGACGTGAGAGCGACATGATGGAGTAACTCTCGATCATGAATAAAGCCATCCACGCTACTATCGGGGACTAAGGCAAAGTCCGTCTTTAGGAATTCGAGTACGGCTTCTCGTGCCAATTCCAATCCATCCACGATGACACGAGCGTGCAATCCTTCGCGACAATACCGATCCGCCTGTTGCAGGATACTGCCGCACAACAAGACCGTCGAAGTGGTCCCATCACCCGTCACGTCGTCTTGTGCCGTGGCCGTCCGCGCAATCATGGCAGCGGTGGGATGTTGGATTTGCATTTCCTTGAGCAACACAAGACCGTCTTTGGTCAGTTTCAATTGACCGGCTCCTCCGACCAACAATTTCAGCGTGCCTATGGGGCAGCTGCTTCTGAGACTTCTGAGACCCACCGCGGCGCCACATTCACATAGCCGAGTTGAGATTGGACATCTCGAACAGTTAGGAGAACAATCCTTGGATTGCGCTAGTAGACGACATGTCGTCACATAGTAAGATTCTGGTAGCCGCTAGCTTCTTCTTAGCTAGCCAGCAGGATTAGTGGTTTCTTCAAACAAGGGAAGAAAATACGAGCCATGCTGCGAAGACGATGTGGTTACGTTTTGGGCTCGCGAGGATCCTTTCTTGAAGTCACAAAAGGACTGATTTGGACAAACCAGGACAATTTGCGATTTCCGTTCCACAATCATATTTATATTTTCGTTTCCTCAAATTCTTTTGCTGAATCTACAATTACATATTCACATCTTCTCACAATTCCATTTGGGGATGGGCAAATCTTGCCATAGCGCTGTATCTATGTATGGAGTGTGACTCTGCAAATCAGTTAAAAGACGCAATTGTATTTTTTGCAGGAACGGTAAATTAACTTGGATTGGATTGATTTGATTGGATTGAATTGGATTCCTAATAGTACTGTTATTTATAAAGTAAACTGTAATTCAATTCAATCCAATACAATCCAATCCAATCCAAACCATAGAGGAAAAACACGCCCAAAGTGAAGGATTGGCTTGCACCACAATTTTTCTGCCCCAAAGGCCCCTCTAACAAATTCAACACCGAGCCATGGGCAACCGAGTTGTCTACCCATTTTACACATCTGTTCCCAATTACACCCTTTCCATCTTCTACATATCTTTTTGGTCCATATTATCACACACAAATTTTGCAAGCCCTCGATGAATAGGATAAGCACAATCTAGCTAGCTACTGGTAGGAGTGATTGTCCAGAGCAGCCAGATGCATGGTGGCTGTGTGTACCTGGTAGCAGACACCAGTATTGGTGGTCCTTCTTGGATGCTTAATTAACTCTAACTCCAAAAGAGTCTTACGAAATGTGTTTTTAACCCTAAAAATGATGACCACTCCCCAGCGATCTGGGCACGTTGGCCTGGATTGGCCGTTGCCACACGCACCCAAGCTCAATGGCCCAGGTGCTTCTATCAAAAGCAAAGGGACAAATCAAATCCAGAGAGCGGCTCTTGAAGTGTGGCTGGTTGGTTGCTTGATTGCCATCACAGTGTTTTCCTTGACTTCAGCAGGCTTCAGCAAACCCGAACAGCATCGTTATCACCTTTAGGCCGGGCTTTGTTCATCACATCTTCCTTTTCAACTGCTGCTGCTGTTTCTTCTTTGGCGGATCTTCCTGTCCTGATCTTCCTTGTTCAATCGAACCTACCTTATCCATTGTATCCAAACAACAGTTGATTGAAAATGGCCAGTGCATCGTCGGAAGACAGCAAGAAAGCAGCCAACGACTCGTTAGACGGATCGTTAGACGGCAACGCTTCCCACATGCCAAGAACACGGCGACAATGTCCGGACGATGAAGACAACAACTTGAACAAAATACTGGGAAAAGATGCGCCGCGAAGATCACTGAGTTCCGAGTTGGATGGCTCCCTGGTGATTGGTGATAACTGGAAGAACATGACGACGGTACACAAAGGAAGGCATGAATTCGGTGACAGCAGTGATTCCTTAATGGACGACAGTTTTGCGGAAAGCTTTGGGGGGAATAGCTTCGCGAGCTCACAAGATAGCTTTGCTGCGGATGAAGAGGACAAAATAGCATCTCAATTCACAACGTTGGATGATTCCTCATCAGGAGGAGGAGGAGGAGGAGCGGTGACTGCTCGAAGGGCGACACCAAGACGGACGTACAGCAAGCAAAGGAAAACTATGCCAAAGAAATCAGATCCATTACAAGCAATTTCAGAAGACGATGACACTGCAGATTCTTAGATCTATGGAAGACTTTTGCAATCAAAAGCCATTTACAATCTCCCAATTGCTACTTGTATCTCGGGCTTAGTCCTTGTCTATTGATTAGTGTAGCCTCGGCTTATGTTGAGGATACCTTTTGATTGACACTATTTGAGCTACTCTGCCCACCTTCCTCCTAGATTCGTTGCTATGTTGGAAACAGCGCCCCAAGCTTTCCCCAGGCATAACTCACTGCTTCTGAAATATTCTATCTGTATGAATCTATAAAATGGGAGACATGCCATCCACGGGCCTGCATCCGAAGGGTCTTCTGGCTTGTCCTGCATGGCACTGGTCCAATGGTGCTGTTGGACAGGTCTGGAGACATGGCCTCTCCTCCCCACTATGCTCCACATTCTGGAGGGAATTCGCTACAGCAAGTGCTGAAGCTGATTTGCATTACCCACCCAGGAGACCCTTGAGGTTGGCATTCACCCTTTCTTCTCCGGAGTGTCCAGGAGACGGTGGAACAGACTTGTAGATCAGTTGCCGATGATCTTTGGGCGCGCGAGCAGATTGCCGAGTACCCCACTCCAGTGATGCTGGCTGTGAGACTACCTCGGGCCATTGAGCCACTTGTCGTGATGATCCCATGAGGTCGGACTGAGCTAGGCAACAAGCCGGAACCAATGTGGACTCGATACTGATACCCGCAAACAGCAAATTGGGTACCGGTAAACGAGCAAGAGTACAATATTTTACAACGGAACATCCCCAGAAAGGCAGAGCTGCACGAGCTAGTTGGTATGATTCACGGCACACTCACATCACTAAATATGGGTGATTGCATCTTCCTACGGAGAGAATAGAGACCTAATCAATGTTCACTACTAGCTTGGCCAAGTGAGTGAATCGGCATTGCCCATCCAGCGGAGACCAAGATTCCTGACCAGCAACCCAAAAGCATGTATGTCTAATGTGCAGCAACATAAAAGATGGATTCAACATTGCTCGTCGAGCGCGACAGCCTGGACAGATGGGACGCGCTCGACCCGCAATGTAACTTGACAAGAGGACGCGCTGCCTTGTCTCCGTCGTCTCGTGGCTTGGGGTCTTACTGCTCCCCGGGCCTCCCTGGACTCAACCAGCTCATCTGTTGATAGCTCCGGTCCTCTTCCCCTGTTTCCTTGGTCTGCATTGGATCGCTGTCACGGTCTGTTACACACTGCGACTACCGTAAGAACCAGTTCTGAGATCGAAGCTGCGCTATCGCTATGTTTGCATAATACGAGGTAGAAAATTGTACCATGAGAAAAGCCAGCACTAATCTCGAAGGCATCGTTGTTGTCGCCCTCTAGCTAGTACCGGTATGGTAGCAAGGACGAGAAACTCAGGGAAGAGGATGCAAGCTAAAACAACCTGTACTGGTACCGGTACCAGGTACCTGGTAAGGGTACGAGCGAGCCTCCGGAAAAGTGCGAAAAACGAAATCAGAGGTCGTCCCAGGAAGAGGTTTCCTATCAAGCAACTCAACTCCAGTGAAAAGTACATTAGCGAAACAGAAAGACAAGTGACAACCCGAGCTAGACAATCAAAAGATTGTCCGGTCAACAACTCGACAAGCGCCGAACACAGAGCACCGAGCAGACCGCGAGGTGCGCTCGACGATTCCTTGGCGCGGGCAACAGAACAAGCAACAACGAGGCCACCGAAATCCCCGAGGGTACCAGGTACTGATGCACTGGTACTGCCGCGACAACCAGTTGGCAGTGAAACCAATCTGCCCGCTTGTGGCGAAGTTGGATGCTGCGAGAGCCGGGATAGCGGGATTACAGAACGAGCAGCACTATCTATCGATAGCTGCAAAATTCAACCTCGTTCGTAACGGTACCGGTACCGTACCACTGTAAAATCAGCTGTCGTCCAGTCTCCGTTCAACTCAACCTGGTGCGGTACCACTATAGATTTGCTGTCGTTCAGTCTCCGTTCAAGACAAGAGACACGTCCAAGCCCTCTGATGGCAGTCCGCGTTGGCTATCCACCATACTGTACGAACCATAGATCAGGCTGTACAACAACGAGAAAGAGTCGAGTCAAGGCCAGCTGGTGGGACCTCCTAATGAAACCGACAGGTGGGGGGAGTTTGCGTGTTTTCATAATTCTCTAATGCTGAGCTTGACACAGACCAAAAACAGCATGAGGTGAAATCGTGTTAAAGGTCCGTTGCCGCACTAATAATGTCGACGACGCTGAAGATACAGCACGCCTCTGCCTTGAGAGAGGCAGCAAGGAACGTTCAGAGGCCGGGATTCCTTCAGGTATCTTCAGCAAAATGTGCTAAGTATCTTTGGTCTTGATTGACAACCAACTGTTGTGGTCGAGCCTCTGGGTCTCCCGCGAGCAGGGTGTGGTTTAGCTTTCTCGCGCCACCCTCCTCTTTCGAAACGGCAGTGAAAAATTTCGATCTTGTAAGGAGAGCCTGAACGGAAATTGGGGACTATCAAGTTTGACCAGCGTGACAGTTTTGGCAAAAGGAGAATTGCGGGAACTGTCCAGCTTTCAAAAATCATCCTCTTTGAGTCATGCTTCAAACGATGCAATATTGTCTATTTTCGACGTTTTCCTATTTACGACAAACAGTACTGAGTAAAATGTATTTTACATGGATATTATGTCATTCTTCCATCTTGTAATTCTTTCAAATTCAGGCTTTCTTCCAGATCCATATTCCCGCAACCCCAACGTGGAGACTGAAGCGCCAGAAATTCGACCGAAAAAAACTCACGAAATTTAATGTGTGCTCGGAGCGGGCCCCCTCCACTAATAGTGCGACCACACCACATGGTAGTGACGCTGCTGCTACATCATTTTTGTAAGTGCTTCTGGTAGAGAGCAGTTCCCTCCACAAAGCCATTGCCATTGTTGGAGGCTTGCGGCTCAAAGTTGCGGATCATCGATAGCATCCGGACTAGTACTGTTTGCGAGATATATTTGCTGGGGATCGGCTGAGATTGCTAGTTGTGGCATTGGCTTGATCTTGTTGGGCGGCAGACGGCAACATACGAGACAAACTACCCTTGACAGATAAAGCACCTATCGAAGCTAGTTCGATCCATGAAGGAGAGATTTGGACAAGCTACTCTTCTTTGCTCCCTCCACCGTTTCGCTCATATACCCACTTAAATTGAAGTGAAACGAATCGACACGACGAGATAATAGTCCTCTACACCCATCAAGAGCAACAGAGCTGAGGCTCAGCTATCCAACCATGCAGTACGCCTCTATGCAGACTCTGTTTGACTCGCTATGCCAATGCCTTGGTACTTCTCCTTCTCTTCCATCAGATGGCTCCGATCCTACCGCTTCCAGAAGTCCCCAAGCTACCACTCCAGGTCGATCATCGCATTCGCCTGTCAATGACAAAAACCTCAAGGCCAGTCCTGCTACAAGACGAACGAGTCGTCTTGAGCTCAAAGATAAACAATGGGATGCTCTATTTGACTCTGTCACCCCGAATATGAATCAAAGGCTGGCTCAACATACTCACGTTCACGGTGGGACACCCCCTGCTTCTCCAGACGCTTCGCCCAGTGGAAACAGAGGCAATAATAACATTGCTGATAGTGGCTCCAAAACTCCTACAGCCAGCAATAGTGCCATTGAAACAGCGCAGGCACTCGCCAAGGCCAAACAAGCGGCCAATCCATCACGCTACCATTTGAATTCCACACGTGATTCACCACCACCGGCTCCCACACGTTCCAGTACCAAGTCGCACAAACGCAAGCGTCCCATTTGTAGTCGCGACGATATCTTTCGCTCACGGAAAATTGGACCAACTACTCGACAGACTGGCTGTCAACCAGAAGGAAACTGTCTCAATCCCATTTCCAAGTTCCTCTCCAATCACCAGGGCTTTGCCAATGCTCTGTGCTTTGCTACTCCTGTACGGGATGACGATGAAGAGGAGGAAGAATTGAAGGACGATGATCGTCAAGATAACAACTCTTTGGCCAGTGATGCCAACACGCTCAACACGTGCGAAGATTCCATGCTACTACTGGATCACAAGTTGGCTCAAATGTCACAGAATCAACCGCCAATGCCACTCTTTCATGATTTCAAGGTGCCGCAGAATGAACCGGAAGGCTTGCGCCGTATTGTCGATGCCGAGACGCATTCATCGGCACACTTGATGACCTTGTGGCGACAACGGCAAGAAACCTCACAGCAAGATCCGGTTGTGGTCGCGCGTTCTTCTTCGTCCTCGTCTCGTTCCAGCAACGGAGGCACCAGCCGCGGTCGGGCCCGTGTACGAGTCGCCCCACCAACCGTCCATGAAGACGAGCAACCTCCGTCCATGAAGGCAGCCAGCACAAGCAGCAGCAGCGCCAGCGATCGCTCCCAACAGGCAAAGCATCAACCGCAAATAGGAGAGATCTAGAAAGAATGGAGCATCTGGCTATATGCGTGGTTAAGTGCATGCCTACACACTACTGTATTGTAGCAACCGAGATGAACTATTAGTTAGACGATGAAGAGCCCGATTTTGTATCATTTAAGAAAGAGACCGGTAATACATCATATAAAAGATTGTTCAAAGTATTAACTTGATGGCTAATGCAATACTAGTAGCTAGCTACGGTAGTGTGGCTTGTGTAGCACCATTTGCATACGAACCAAAGGGATGACAACCCTTGGGACCACGCAATTCTTTCGCAGCGACCGCAACCTCAGAAGAGGAAGAAGGCTTCTAGCTAGCTACCGTATGATAGATTTGATGTGCAAGCTTTGCATCAAGAAAGATCCATGATCCTCCGACTACTCACGAAGAAAACTCCTTCTCGGAGACGAAAACAGAACCATTCCTCAACTTCGATACGTCCCAATCCTCAAATGTTCAAGGATTAGAAGTGTCCTTTGACCACTAGCCAATTTCAACGTGGAGTTGTCAGCTTTTACATGAGTCGAGTCTCCACGAAAAGGTTTTCAGAACTGGTTTCCCAATCTATAGCATATTATTTACGTCTTTGCTTTTGCCGCAGCTAACGTCGATCGCTTTTGCAGCCAGAGCAACTAACTAACTTGGGGCTGCCGAACTAGCAATATCCATACTCTCGACAGCCACTGTCTCCCATAGATTTTCTGATATTTGGAAAACAACATGCAACTCCGTGTCATTTTTGATCTCGTAGTGTGTCAAGGCTTGGTCATCCTCCAGGACCGTCGATTTGGGTGGTGGCATCAGCAGCCGCATGTGATCTGCCGTCACTCCATCGTCTTTTTCGGATACCTTCAATGCCTGTTCAATCTTCTCCTTCACCACCCGAATCTTATCGTCTGGCGCACAGGGGATGAAGTATGTTTGGTTTTGGCGCTTGACTCGTACATATCTGATACCGTATCAAAGGAGAACAAAACGCCAATATGCCAAAGAAGAAACACACTTTCGTGAGGCTACAATCCATGGGCATCTTCAGGATTTATCAGCTTTTAAAAAAACCTACATTTCCTCTGGTGCCAACGACATTCTAGACCGCTCGATATCTCTCTCTCTCTTGTCTTTCACAAAGCCTTCCAACTTCCTTCTCGTTATTCTCTTCTTCGTCTCATGGATCGAGTGTGTTTGGGGTGTGGGGTGGTCCTCGATCGAATGCTTTGCTAAAAGAAACCCACAGAGCTGCCAAGAGTTTCTTTTTTCGCGGTTTCGCCATGCTCTCCCTCCGGTGGGTACATGTACCAAGACTAGCTAGCTACTGGTACCGGTAGCTACATAGCTAGAGCTGGTGCTATGCTCAGGACTGTACCACATGCAAACCTATCACAAGCTACCGGTACATCGTAGCTATTTAAATAGTAGCTAGAGGGACACATGCTCTGGTTGTCTGAACGATTGAATCATTACATTAACAGGGGATAACTTTCCTTTCTCTGCCAAGGGCCATACTGCAAACTAAGTGAGCAACGGGCTACGTGCAGATGCCAATGTCAGCCAATCTCAAGCCAACACCAGCAAACTTAGAACTCAAAAACTCCAGGACATTGCCACGTTCTTGGGGAGAACTGTTTGCAAGACACCATTCCAAACTCTGGGACTACAAAATGTATTTGCATCCCAAGGACTGCCATTGCCACGGGCCCATTGCAGAATGTTCGAATGTCTGAGTACAAATGTATTTTTCCCAGTGCGGACATCCATTCTGTCGAGCCCATTTCACTACCTTGAGCAGCAAAATTGCAGGTCCAATCATCCCATGGACAGGCAGACATTTGCAAGAAGATATTTGAGAATTCCGAAATCTCCATAAAGGGCAGGGCAGGCACACGTCAATGAGTCCCATAGACAGCCATTTCTATCACGTCCAAGTGTCCACTTTCTGCAGAGGTGAGCATGCAATTTCATTCCATGGACAACCATTTTCATTCACCCATTTCACAACACGTGATTGCCCTCCTCCCACAGCACAAGCAAGTGTGCATTCATCCCAAGGAGAGCCGCTTTCACGATAAATCCTCGTTCGGCTCGTTGGGGAGGAATGCTGTGCACATCAGCAAGACGACAATCGCCGCCACCGATGCGGGGGCCCTCGTGGTGATCAGCAGAGCACTCAGAACGTAACCGGCGTGGATTGAAATGGTTCCAGGTTCTCGTCTTATATCTTGTAGGCTTGAACCTTCTTCTTCCTTTGCCTTTTCTTCATCGTCCGTGGAATCCGGCACCAGCCACCAAGGGTCACCCGAGGCAGCTCTCCGATCAATAGCGGCCAACGCGGCCGAAGAACTGTATCCAGCTGCTTCTCCACTGGTCGACGACAGGGCACGGCTCCGCATGTGATCTTGCAAGTCTCCGGGAAGCCAACGGAGATCCAAGGGGCGAACACGACTGCGTGGTTGCACGGAAAGGCGCGACGACGATGCGCCTCCAGAGACTTGATCGAGTGGAAAGACACGATCATGATTGGTGGACCCCTTGATTAGCGCAAAGCTACTTTCGTCGTCAGCTTGGTTTGATGAATCATATTCACCCAAAAGCAACTGTCGTGCTGCCTCCTGCAAACTCATTCCCGAAAGGTCTCCTGCTTCCGAGGATGCAATCGAGCTAGCACCGCCATCGTCGCTGTCAGCACTCCCTCCAAGATTCGAAAACGGGGAATACCCGACCAACAAGTCCGTTCCTTCTTGCCGATCCGAATCCATAAAGTTGTTGAGATAGTATCGTTGCAGCGAGTTCATTCCATCGTCCAAGGCACCCAATTTCGTTCGCTTGCCAGTGCGCGTGAAGTCGCGTTTGAGGGCGGGTGTCCCGGCATAGAGGCGGGAAATTGCGTCTGCATTCTCTGCCCACAAAAGTCGATGGGAGACTTCTCCATTTTCCCAGGGTAACGCAAGAAAGTTGGATTTCTTAAAAGCAGAAACAGCACCGGTGGGGAGGCCGTTGTGCTTGTGTGTGGCTGTCTCGTTGTTCTTCTGTGTGAGTTGTTGCAGCTGGTGAAAGAGCATCGCTCTTGCAAATAGACTTTGGACAACGTTTGTGCGGTCGAGGCAATCCATGCAATTTGTCCGAACAACACCGTTTTGAAGACTTTCGATTGTCCACTCTGGGTTGTCTTTCGTGGGAGCCTGGGCGGAGAAATAGCCATGGTCCTCTAAAGCGGGCTTTGTTTTCTTAAGCAACTTGGCGAGACGGTCCCACCGCCCATTCTTTACCTCTGGATGTTGCAGGAAGTGGTATGTGAGACGCATGCAGCTATCGTTGTGTGGCGTTGTGATTTCATGCCACTTACCGGCATGGAAATCATACCAAACGTGTTGTATACTAGTCGGGTCCAAGGTTATCACTTGTCGTGAGGCCTCGTCCTCATTATTTGAACCATCATAGGACTGCCCAATACTTTCAGCGGAGCTGCTGGAGATGTTGGGCGTTGCGTTGGGAGGCGCATAGACTTCTAGCACGGCGTTCAGCACAGCATCAAACGTCCGCCCTAGACGTCCCTGGTCGCTCTTCTTGTCAATCAGATTTATAAATATCAATCGAGCACTGCTGGTGGACGTGCAGTTCTTCTCACCAAAGTCTTGTTTTTTATCGTCAGAAGCAGAATAGAGCGACAACTGTTCCGTGATGTGCGCCAAGAGGGCTCGTGTTTGAGCAATGGGATCTGTCCCTATTCTAACACGTGGGCGGTAAGTTTTGACGTCCGTAGGGCTGGACCACCGCAGAGGAATAGAACCCCGTGTTTGTACGTGGCTGAAAACATGTTCAAGTTGTTGTCGTTTCTTTTTCGTGTGGTACACCAAGCAGATTTGTTCGCTCTCGGCATAGTTTGCGACTGCTCCGGATGCATCTGCCCCTCTTTTAGTGAAACGGGTGCCTGCCCTGAACCGAGATCTTCTACTGATTAATATCTCGTCGTAGACCAGCCCAGATTTCGACGACCCGTCGACCTTCACTTGCTGTTGTCCCCCAACAAAGGCCGACGTCAGAGGCAGAGTGTTGTCCAGAAGCATCCTTGTCGCATCCACTTGTTGCTGGAGTGCGTCGGCGTCTTCGTCGGCTTGTTCAATACTTTGCATAACTTGCTTGTACCTCTGCACCAGTGGTTCCACTGCAGCTTCGTTCCAAAAGAAACGAGAATCTGGTTTGTCCTTTTCGTCGGCTGTATCTTCCCACCACACACCACTAGAATCTTGTTTCTCTTTGTTGTCGTCTGTTTCCCCCTCTTCGGCGATACTGGCGGTAGTTTCGTTTTCTTGTAGAGCTTCATCTTCTGCTACACTGTCCTCTACTTGGCGTTTTGCCGTGTCGGAACTGACAAATGTTTCCCACCACCACTGGTTGGTTTTCTTTGGTGGTGGTTGCGACGGAGCCTCCTCTTGCGGCTGCTGCTCGTGCCCATGCTTGTCGATGGATGCAGAGGAGTCGCTATGGCTCTTGGTGGTTTCATTGCTGTTGCTCGTTTCGGCATCTGACAGAGTTTGGTTCCCCAATCCTTCCTCTGTTTTCAACGGTTCGTCTTGTTGATTGCCGCTCCTATTGGTTTGTATTCTTTGGAAGCATCTTTGAAGGTTCTTGGTCATGTCAGGAACGACTGGAACGTGTTTATCGTTATCATCACAGTGTTCCATAGATGGTTGAGGCGTGTAGTAGAAAATATGCTGCTTCAATGCCTTTCGAAGCAACTGCACTTGTCGTAGTTCTTCCTTGAGTTGGTTGACGGGTAACGCCCGACAGGGTATATGAACCAGCTCCAAGTCGGTGACACGTTGAATTTTGAACCAGCTGGTATCGTCCTCCTGTTGTTGTTGTTGTTGTTGTTGTTGCTTGGATGATGGAATTTCATAGACGGTTTCTGAACCTGTAATGAGCACCCAGATGGTTCCAGACGGAATAGTGTAGATTCCAAACAAACCTTCCAATGGAACCCAACTGCTGGACGCATTGAAGCTGCTGGAAGAGGCAAGACAGTCCCAGTTTTTCGAGGACTCTTCACCAGCAGATACTTGCAGAATGGTACCATTCTTTTGCAGATAGAGTTTTCCATCCGTGGGAGAATGCTGCGCATAGAGGCAAGAAGGCTCTAAAAGCTCTGGTTGTGGAACGTCTGTGTCTGGAGTGTCTTCATTCTTGAAAGCTGGAACCGGCGCTCCAAAAAATGTCGTGTGCTTGGAACTGGCAAAGCCGGTCACCCGTGTGGAAACTTGTCGACCAAACGACAAGTCTCCTGCTGTTGTTGCTACCACAGTGTGCAGTGGGCCCAACTGGAAAATCAACAGCCAAAGCAGACAACCAACCCAAATCAAAACCAGGCGACGGCGGCACCGCTGGTGCTCCAACCATGGCAACATGACCCTACCACTTACAAATGTTGTCTGACTGGAAATAAAGGAAGCTTATGAATAGTTTGCGTATGGTACCACTGCCACTGCCATCTAGATCCAAACGACAGGTGTAGCTTCTGCTCCCCATTCACCATGCCCTGCCATCAGCATCAGCATGCAGACACATCAAGCGAAAAACTAAGGCTGGCTGACGTCATTCGTGACCGGGTGTCTGGATCGTGACTTACTTGTACTACAACCAACACGCAACAGCATGACTGGATCTACTTGAATTGTGAGCATGCGGTACCGGTATTATGGTAGGTGCTGGTGGGAGAGGGCTGCTACTATCATCACGTCACACCGGTACGATACGATTTCAACGAGCCTATTGATGAAATTTCAGGTTGGTGTGTGCGTGAGAGAGAGAGAGGAACCGTAGCGATGACAAGTTGACTTGCCACCGGTACTAGGCTCCTGAAACCTTCTAATAGTGGAGGTCTGCCAGGCACGTTGCTCTTTGCCGTGACCACGAGTATAGACGCAGGGAGCCACATTGCAGAGAGCCAGGAAGAATAATTGGCCCCAGGCAGCAAAACTTGAACCCCATGTCTGCCTGGTTAGGCCAGCTGGTTCTTGGGACTATCGCGGTTGAAGCAGCAGCAGCAATACACCAGACAGAGGCGGGGCCCCCTGGTTTGAAACCTTGGGCCATTGTTCCGTTGCAGTTGGACCAAAGATCTGCTTTCTTCAAGGATGGCCTACCCCTGCACCTTGAGCATTGGAGATTTGGTTTGTTGATGTTGAGTTGATGTTTGATGGGTGAAGGGTGAAGAGGGCTGACCTGACTCGACTCGACACTCATGGAAGACTGCGGAAAACTTGCAAATTCTGAAGGGAAAAGCCTAAAAGGCACTGGAAGACTTATCTCCGTTTTCAGCGGAGAACGCTTTTACAGCATAGCTAGCCCTAACCCTTCCAAACAGGAACTAGCGCCGACCGACCAGCCATCTTGAAGGCAAATCTTTCGGGCCTTGCAGCTGCCGCATTGGAATGAACAACTTTTAGAATTCTGCAAACAAAGAAATGGGGGTCAGGCGACGAGACGCCGCCGCTCGAAAATGGAAAAGTACCGCTTGGTGGAGGAACACAAGGGTGAAGGCGAAGACTTTCTAGAGCAAACATCAGAGTCTGAAGTTAGAATAACACAACAGGGGAAACCACGGAACTACATATCGTACGCTATGAATCTCTTTGTAAGTGGGCTCTCGTTTGATGTTCCGACGGGTTGCATGCATGGGTGATGTTTCGTGCACTGGTCGCTCACATGGTCTTGTTGGTCATCCCAGGCTGAGGGTTCCAATATAATAGTATTAAAGGCCATGGGAAGAGCTATTAATAAGGCAGTCACCATTGCCGAGATCCTGAAGCGGAAGATGCCTCTTCATCAGGTCAACGCGCTGTCGAGTGTCGAGATGATCGACGTCTTCGAGCCTCTAGAAGAAGGGCTAGACGTAGTTACCAGCAGACGGTACGTCTCTTGCATGAAGATTACTCTTTCGAGAAATGGAGAAGGAATGGATAGAAACGACATAGGGTACCAACCACCCTTACCTTTAGAGGAGATACACCCTGGGGACTTCCATCCCTTGAGGGAGTCCCAGGCTGCCAATACAGGCATGATAACATCTACATGATGATGGGCTAGCTTTGAGGGGTTAAACAGACTACTTATACAAACCAACGCTACTTCTGTCAGGCAGGCAACGCATACTTCTCGCTGACAAGTTGATAGCAAGCGCACACGCACTACTTCTGTCAGGCAGGCAACGCATACTTCTCGCTGACAAGTTGATAGCAAGCGCACACGCAGATACTGCTTACATCTCCAAGAGGCAGTGATGCACAAGCTGTGGCGACCCATAGAACACAAACCACTTTTTAAGACACTGGAACGAAGAGGACACACACGAAGAGCTGGTTGTTGTTTGTACATATCATTACCGAGAGGCGTCACCAGTCTTTAAGGTATCAATCTATGAAAGAGTTGTCACTGTAACATCTCTGGTGGGCATACAGGAGCGCTCTCTATCAAGGTACGGTAGCTCCCAGCTGAGGCTGTCTCTCTTCGAGTTTGCAAACAGATCGAGCAGTGATTTTCCGAGCATAACTACTAGCTAGCTAGCTAGCTAGCTAGCGGGATAAAGCTATTTGAGTGTATTCGCTGCTTATAAACTTGGAAGTAAGAGTTTGACCACAGGATTTCCACCACTGTCTACCCAACCACCAATCTAGCAAAGATATCTGTAACCCATAGAACCATAAACGATAAACTGCTTTCTGTGTTTGTCTTTACATGCATTAATTATTGTTCAAGTGTGTACAAATGTAGCTGGGACATATCTAGAACACGTAAAGGCGTAAAGTAATGAAGGAAGCACCAAAGCACACCAACACAACTTCGACCACAAGATCTAACATTCCAACACCATAATCCCATCGACCTCATGAATGTCTACTTTCGAACCAGATGATGTGCTGAGGTTTTCGGCAGCGATTGCCTGCTCTTGCATCCTGTTGCTTGGATCTTCAACGATCATGCCTTTTAGGGGTCTGTCGCCAAGAATCTCCGGCCTCAACAGCCACCTGAACGAATCAGTGAATAGCACAGGCGGAGGCGTTATCGTATTGATTGCCTTCTCGTCCAACGGAACCATTGATTCTTCGAGGGTCAGATGCTCTTCCATCGCTTGTTCCTTCCTGGTTTCTTCAATGTCATAGAAGTACTGGAAACTAGCCTTCGTGACGAAGGAATTCAACAAGCCCAACAACACAGCCGCACCAAACAGCAGATACGACCCGCTCAGGACCTGCGCCTCGATGCGGAAACAGTGGCTGTTTTCACGCTCAAGGACCCCCCAGTAAGCGAGCATTTCAAAGATAGTCTCAAAATCTTCGCACTGACCCGCAACAATGGACACGGAGGTTGGTGCAAGTTGCCTGATGACGAAAAGGGGAAGGTGAGCCACTACGAGACCACAAGAACACGAGGAATTTCCAATAACCAACGAAACTCACCAGCTCGATACCAGGATGGCCAGAACAAAAACTTCAGCGTACTGCCAGGCCGCAAGAATTTCGTTGAACACCGCAAACCGCTTTCTCTCTCTGTCGTTCATGGGCTTGAACCAATGATAAGCAAGGGCCAGACCTTGCACTATCGGGACAACAAAGACTGTCAAAATCAATATGCATGCCAAGAGCAAGTATCCCGCGACATATTTGAACTCTCCAAGTTTGACCGAGTCCTTCACAAGCATCACCGCTACGTCAAAAAGATTGAACTCCTTTGCAACTCCTTCATCCCCCAAAGCCGAAACGAAACTGACAATGCCCTGAACCTCTGCGCTCAACGAAGGCAAGGTAGATCCAATCACAAGGAAAAGCAGGAAAAGAACAGTGACGACAACTAGCCCATAGCTGGCACTCTGTCGAGCCACCAGTCTGCTTTGGTTTCCCTTGTGAGGTCGTGAGAAGGCAGTGTCACACAGGCGGGTGCGGTTGTCAGTCTCCTTGGAGCCCTCGCTGCTGTCCTTGGTGCCGCCACTACGCTCATCAGAAGGTTCCCCAGCTGCTTGGTCAGCGGGATTCTGCGCATCCTTGCGAGGTCTCAAGTTGTGGTCTTCTTCGTATGTACGCGTTGCATGTCGCACAATTTCACGGTGGTAGTGAATGATGAAGTGAGAGCTGATCTGGGAGATGATTTGTGCAATCAAGTTGGCGTACAAACCCCATGTGGGGATGATACGAATTCTGAGGGTGAAGAAATCCTTCGGCAGGAATTCTACACTGGGGGTGACGGCATCCACCCTAACAAACAACGGAAAACAGGTTAGCATGCGAGGCATAGAATCACGAAAGAGGGTCTGGGTGTCGCCGTACCTGAATGCAATCATTGTGATCAAGAGGACAAAGATATCTACCATCGACCATTTCGCCAAGGTGTCAAGCCAAAGGTAGGTTGAGCCTCGGGTAGAGATGGACAGCTTCTCGGGGGGGAGAAGCCAACAAAACAGTGATATCAACTGCTTGCTGTACGGCCAGATCAACGCAAAGGTACAAAGGAAGATTGCCATCTCTTTAGCTCCAGCTTCCCACATGCCAATGGTGCTGTCGACAATTGTAAAGTCATACAACCTGCTCAAAGTGAAGGGATCCCCCGCAATTTCCAAGACGAACCCAACCTGCGCGGCAATGCTCAAATGCCCGCTGAGGAAGAACCCAATGTTACCAAGAATAATCAGAGGCATTCCATACCTGACTGGCATGGAGAGCTCGGGGGTGGAAAACATGGAAGATGTGTTTTCGTTCAGAGCACGCTCCAGCTGCTTGTCTGCTTGTTGTTGGTGTAAGACAAGGTGGACTCTTTGAGTAGGAAGAGTTCTCAGCCATCTTGAAAATCGTCGATTCACAATGCACCGCACCGCAGATGAGACGACAAGAATTACGACGACCAAGCCTACCAGCACCCCAGCTAGCAGGAACAAAATGTGGTTCACAGCAACAGATCGGTCAAAGTTCAGCGGATCAAACACTCGGAGATCAAGGTTATCTCCTTCATACTTCGGGTCGTGCGGGCATCTCCTTGTTGCCTCCATGATACCGCGATCTATGGCATTCTGTACCAGATTTCCCGTGACGATATCCAACCCGTATTCGACAATTGTATTGGCAAGCAGCGTAAGGCCTTCTGATGAGCCAGGTTTTCGCAGAGTTTCCACAAGATTTGCCATCCCAGGGCTCGTGCAACTGACACACTCGATCGTAACGTTCAACTTGGAAAATTCCAACGCCAAGTCCATCAGCGCAACAGACCTGGGTTCACCTTCTGGCCGAATACCCAGATGGTTCAACTCAGGGGCGGGGAAGAGGGCACCCCAACACCACGGATTGAGGAAGTCGCTCATCGGGAAATCTATCAACCTCGATTCCGGTATCTTGAGGAGGCCATTGAACAGAGTCTTGGCAGTATGGATGTCAATGGATATGATCATTTCATTCCGGATTTCCTTGGTCACATCTGAGCATAGCGAACGGCACACTGTGAGTCACAGACCCATCAACGTGGTGACAATGACAGCACGCAACTGTCGCACTTACCGAGAGTGTCTGCGTCTATATTGAGAATGTCCACCGAAAAACGGAGCGAAACACGAACAGGCTTGTCACCCAGGCCGATCCCAACGCTGTTGTCGAGATAATACGGCTCCCCATCAACAGGCCGAAGAATCTCGATAGGCTCACCAATTGAGTCAGCGTTCTGGATGTGCAAGTCGCCCATGGATAGTGATATGTTCAACAAGAGAGCGCCGACGCCGAAGTCAATTTCATCAGTCTCAAGGATTGTGCCAGGTATGATCACACTTCCTTTCTCTCCAAAGAGGAACTCGGTAGCGCCCGCCACAAGGCTGTTAATCGTAGAGAGACCGGTAACAGGATCGACAGCGAGAATCTGGTCGTTGAGCGGAACTGACAGAGTTCGAAGTGTATCGCCGTAAGTCGACATTCCTCGCCCTCCTTTTGCAGTCGAGTTGGCTGCATCAAGGAGTAACTCTCGGAAATCGAGAAAATAGGCAAAGGGATACGGATTTTCACCGGGGGGCGTTGCATTGAAAGCGTGTTCCCTCAGATGGGTGCACTGCGCCCTGCCCCTGATATAATCTTGAAGCCACGTATTCACGAACGTTCGCGCGCTCACGTCAAACAAGATCGGGAGGGCCTTCAGGGACCTTTCGCCGTAACGTTCAAAAACTTCCTCTACAGACTGCGTCAGAGCTGCCTGAGATTCGGGGAGAAAGCCTTCAAAAATTGGAGTTGATAAATTGCCAATGGAGATCAGGATTTGTGGGAAGTGTATGTCCACAGCAGTAGCCATTAAACATGGGAAAATATAGTCGAACATCATGAAGTGACCCATTTCAAGTTGACTCATAAAGTTCAAGTCGATGGCAGCGAATAGAGGGATTGTCGCGTTGAGGTCCTTCATCGCGAATTTGGCTGTGATGATTTGTGGAGGGTTACTGCGTGACCCCATGCTGAAGTCAAGGTCAACTTCTAGCTCACGTAGATAAACACTGTTGAGGACGGTTTGCGGAGCGACTGGTTTCAGGACGTCGAATCTGCTAAATGTGTCCAACCCTCGAATCCTGATGGCGTGAATCAAAAACACAACACCTTCAATGTCAAACTCGATGGGTTCGTCTCCCAAAAAACCTACGACTTCGATGGTACCATTGTCATCGGCGAACAAATCACGGATAAGAATGTTGACACCGAGATCCTCCATGCCAGTCTCGTTGTCAAAGCGGGTTTCACTAAGATAGTCTCGAGCGTCGTCGGCCAACTGGTCAAAGCCCTGCGTTAGGTTCGTCCAGTCGATCAAATGCGTTCCATTCGGCTGCTCGAAATGTTCCTGGGATGACATGTATTGGAGAGTGTCCAATTCCCACGGATAATGCGTCTCCACGAGCAACACAAAACCAACTTGTCCAGCTACAAGAAAGGTGAAGAAAAGCGTGTCGCTTGACTCTACCGAGATGTCATCAAACTCAGGTTTTTCCCACGTCTCTGGTCTATCGTAGTCGGTGAGGTACTCATTTCTCTGGGGGCAAGCGTATGGCGCGCCAACAACCCAACGGTCGACATGAACCTGCATGGTTTCGCTCGTCATGAACTCTGCCACCACTATTGGAAGCCTGTAGCTGAGGAGCTCGGTAACTCCCGCCCTGTCCCAAATGTCAACAATGTCAGGTAACGAAGCCATACCAGGACTGCACTCCACGCAATTGACAAGCAATCTCAAGTCGGACATTTTAGCGAGCAATCGCCTGAACTTAAGTCCACGTTCGACACTTCCCTTGACCCTGTATCCAAGCTGGTCTAACTCTGGAGGTGGGAGTGTCGCAAACAAACAGTTGATATCCACTGCATTGCCCAGCTGTAGGTTTAGGAGATGGTTGGTCGACATCATGGATAAGATTTCTATGAATGCTTCGACGGAAGCCACGGAGAAGCCCATCGTGATGACGTTGTTCATAGCCAGTGGCGAATCATCAATGTCAAGCGACATCAAGAGGCCAATCGTTACGTTCAGTGGGGAGTCTTCGAGTGGGCCCATATTGATGGTGCTCTGGGTGACAAAGGGATGATTGATGGGCTGAAGGATTGCCATTGGATGGACCACGGTGTCAAGATTGTCAATTGTGAGGTCAAATATTGCAAACTCAAACCGTTGCACGAGCGTCTTGAATTCCATCTGGTTTTCTTCGTTAGTCGTAAAGTTGTAGAGCGCTCCTGGAATCAACAACATTCCCTCTGTCCCCGAGATTGCCTCGGTGATAGGGCCAACAGCCAGATCGTTCAGGCCAAGTGTTCCATCCGGTTCAACCGCTGACCACATGTCTTGTCCAATGCCGTAGACGGTCGACGCCAAGTCTCCATATTGTGCATCTCCTGTGCCACCGAGTTCTTTGGCTTCGTCTCCAGATAGCAGCAAATCACGAAGGTCCACAAACGAGTCTTCTTCGAATTCTTCAAACTCGGGACAGGTAAAGTTTTCGAGGGCCTCTGTCGCCAAGTCTCTAACTGTTGACTGAAAGAGCGAAGGAAGCATTTGAAGGATAGTTCCCTTGAACATGAAGAATCCAATCTCTGCACCATCAACGAGAATACGGTCAGCACCGGGAGAGACCAAACCATCAACAGTTGGAAGCTGGATGTCTCCCACCGACACATTCAAGCCAGCAATGACAAAGTCGTGAAAGGATGCAAACAAACACGGCACCATGGATGCTACGTCCAGCATCGATCCGACCTCAATAGTAATCATCCGAGACGGGTCTAAGGCGACCATGATAGCGACGTCCAATTCAATGTTCTCGACTCCGACAGTGACGGTCATTTCTTCAATGTATGGGTCCGGTCTCTCTGTATCTCTGATAAAGGCGTCTTCCTGCGAAGAAGCCATGATCTCCATCTTGATGTCTGCCTCGAATGAAAGATAGTCCCAACTGAGCACATTTTCCAAAGTATGGTTTCCGTATCTCTGAAAGGGCTGAATGTCTGTGAAAGTGTCCAGGCCGTTTACCTTGAGCGACAAGAGCGAGAGGTTTGTCTGGGTAAGCTGATCGTGCGATTGAAACAGAACCGCCCCGTTCTCGTCACCAAAGGTAGACAGATCCAACCCGAAGGTCCTATTATCATCCAACAAGTACCTTCTGAGCATCGCGTTGATACCGAGATCGTATCCATCGGGAAACATGGTCCCATTGGGATGTGACAGGGTTCCATTAGGTGCATTGTCTGGGTCAAAGGTCATGGAAGTCATGCTTTCTTCGACCTCTTCCAGCGCGGCGCCAAAGAATTGTCCAAAGCCGGTGTCATCGTTCCAGCTCAAGAGTTCAATGTCTTCTGGGACTTCCATGTTGATCTCGGGATATGTTACATTGTTGCGCCATGGTTCGACGGGTTCCAGAAAGGGCAAGATAAGCTCGTAGAGTGCCTCGAGTCCCACTCCAATCATCTCGGCCCCAATATCTTTGAGTGTGCCGCAAATCTCCGCATTCAATAGCCCTCCCACGACGTCCAGGATGAGTTGTTCCAATAGATTGAATATCTCCGAGGCAATGTTCCCTGAGAACTGAATACCGACAATATTGATGTTTGTTTCGCAGTTCTCCACCTTGGCGGCATGGGGAGGGTATACGGAGAAATCTCGCGAATAAAAGTCTAGGCCAAAGTCCGCTCCCGAGTCAGCGACCTGGATGTTGGCGTGTCCATTGCCCGTCAAGAAGATGTATCGCCACCAAAAGTCGAATTCGCACTGCAGTCCCAGCCCGACCACGCCGGCGCCGAGTCCAAGTTCTCGATTGCTGCGAAACTCGCGGCTGAGCTGGACATCTTCCAAGCGCAACTGAGAGCACTCCAAGTTCCTGAGCTTGATCCCTAGCACCTGGAAGAGAAGCTCTTCATTGATATCTGCATCTGGCAGCGAAAAGACGGTGGTTTCCAAGAGATCGTTAAAGGCCTCAAAGTCATCTGCCCGTGGCGCTGTGGAGGGGGAAGTAGTGTTACTGCGGTAACCCGGGATCGAGTCCAATATCTCTTCGTTCAGCAATCGCTTCTGAATAATCTCCTTGATCATCCTCTCGCTCACTGTTGTTTCCAGAGGAAGTGCAGAAGACTGCGCTGAAAAAGGGGCAGCATTATCGAGCTGCCATGGGTGTTCTTGATTTGCCGCACGGGCCTCATTCCTTGACGCCACTGCTTCTGCCGCACTAACCAAGTGGCTGCTACCAGTCACTTCTTGAGAGCGGACCAATGGAGTTAATCCCAACCCAAGAAGCATAGCCCATGCTATGAATCGCTCCAAAGAGGATACCACCATTAGACTTCGTTGTATTCGAGTCATTGTCACTCGTCGCTTCGCCGTTCGTTGTATAGACTTGGGATTGCTATGCTACCGTCACTGCTGTTGTTGTCCTTTCTATATATTGTGTGATTAAGCTTGCAAGTTGATGGTTAATAATAAATTTGCCATGAACTGGTGTGAGGTCTGTGTACCACAAGAGCACGAGAGAGACTACTTGAGCACACTTTTCTTGATATTATTGCAGGGCCCTTCTTGCCAAAGTGATAGCTTTGATGGCATCCAGGTTGCTCCTACAAAAGCCACGGGAAAAACCAAAAAAATTGTCCACTTTCTGATTCTTGCAAGGCTTGATGAGAGACTCCAGCAGCAAAAATGAGCTACGTAAAATTCCTACCAAAGTCAAATGTCTTCCAGGTTTGGTCCGCCGCCGCCCAAACAAGAATGCTTTAACAAATCTAACAAAACCAGCCGGGCTCGTAAATTCGACTTTGAAAAGGTTTACGCATTCAAGTTCTTTGCACTTCTTCCTTGATATTAAGAAACTATGTGATAAGATATCAGGTATTGAGATTTTTCTGGAATGAACATACTAGTACTGGAGGCACTCAGATCTGCACTAGCAACTAGTATGATAGAGCTAAGATACCCAGTGGGTACTCTCCCTTGGGCACTAAGAGATTGAGAGATGATACAAGTGACACTTTCTACCAGCAAATCGCCTTTAAAAAATAGGTGCCAAGTGTCAAAAAATTTGACTCTGGCAGGTGATAAACTGCTCTTTCCTCTCTTCACATTAGTAGGGTATGTTGAGTAAGGTAGGAAGCAGAGTAGATAAAGTTCAGTAGGAGTATTTGTGATAATGCTAAGATTCATATGGTTCAGTAAAGAGTGACTGTTTTACTGAAACAGGTCACCAACCGCCAAATTTGCTAAAACACAGGCTTCGGCCTCTGTGGTAACTTTTGGTTGGGGCATGACTCTTTCATCTCCTCTGTGAGACTCATCAGTGCTGGGCTAAATTAGGTTTACTCCCCCAGTACACAGGCAAACTCAGAGGCATTTTAATATCAAGGGGGGAGTTTATCTGCGACGGGAATGATGCTGGCTCATCCAATCTCATCCATGCCACACTTACCGTATCCGGCGAACGAGCTTTAAGGTCATCGCTCGCGCAGAGAACGAATCAAAGCTGCTCAGCAGCAAGCTCCTGTTGATCAGTACTAGCTAGCTACCGGAACATGTACTGGAGTAGAACCGGTACGGTGGAGCGCTTCGAGCTGCCAGCTGCCAGTGCCAGCGCAGGAGCACAGGAAGAAAGCAACATTACTTAACGGAACCCACAAACCCACCAAGCAAACTAGGAAAGTTCCTCACGGGATTCACCATCACCAGCTCTTAGTCAGAGGAAATCCCTTTGGTGGCGAGCTTGGTATCATCTTTCCAAAGAGTGTCTTGAGCTAGCTAGCTCTTGAGATGCAGCCTCGATGCGTTTGCTGTGTCGATCATCAAGAGGACAGTAGCCTAAACTTGCCATACTCCTGGCTGGAATTGCGTGTCAGTTACAAGCGTCACGAGTTGACCACTGCTATTAATAGCTACAGGTGGTTGCTTCGCCAATTTTTAAAAATCTTCTACACGCGACCCCTCACACCTCGCATCACTCTTCCACTCGAACACCAGAACGATGAGATTGTAGGTACTAGTACCGGTACATGTCCTCGCAGCATTCTTTGTGCAGGCCTGGTACCAGTGGTTCCACTTCCTCTTGTGCTCGCCCTCTTCCGTAGATAATTTCCCTACTCTAACTAAACCCCCACTAACTTTCATAGGATCAGAGGTGGACCCGCGAAACAAACCCACAAAAAGTGTCATTTTCCATTTTAAAATTTTGCCAGTCAAATTGCCGATTCTGTTTCAATTCGCCATTTCCATTTTTACAGCCTTGCGAGCTGGTTTTGCATCGTGTTGGCACTGAAAATGGCTCAGGCAGGCATCTGATTGCTGGCAAGATGACGCAACTCTTGGGACGGTACAATACCATACGGTATGGTGGGTATCGAACAACCACGGTATGGTACCAAGCTTCCAAACAAGGCGCCGCGGGCTGGTGCTACTAGTAATAAGAGAGTAGTCAGTAGTAGGCGTGCCAAACTAAAGAAAGGTACCGTACGGAAACGACGAATGGCTTGTCTTCGATACAAAATGTTCCTTAATTTTCTCACCAATGATACGTGGGGTGCCATCTAAACTTGCTCGGTTTGCTGTGTTCAGTGATAGATTTAGGAGCGAAACAACCAAAACAGTCATAAGACTCTTGCTTGCTTTGGCTGTTTCGAGGACCGGAGTGCTTGTCCTGATTTTCCTCTATCAAGCCACCTTTTTCTTGTCTCCAGAACTCACCTGCTTCCCCGCCTGCTGCAAATATTTGGGGAGCCAATTTTCCTTGAACCATTCAATGGTGGAGGGCCATGCCTCTTCGGTTTTGAAGAGCGGTTCATACTTCAAGTCTCGAATGGCGTTGTCAATGGAGAACCATCGATGAATGGTCAGCATGCACACACTAAAGGGACTCAATTTGAACTTCTTGCCAATAATAGCGCCAATCACGTTGCAAATGTAGGCAACACCGTAGAGGAGCCAGACGGGAAGATGGAATTTGGTGTACAAATCCTGAAATCCCATGGCCACAATTGCTTCATTGATAAACTTCCAAAAGTGAATGTATGGACCATCCGTGATAATGTACAACTTGGCCAGCGCAGGACTATCGTCATAAAGAGCATCAGCTCCACACATCAAGCCATGAGCGTAATTGTCAACGTAACAAATAGAAATTTTGCTACGGCCGTCTCCAAAAATTCTCAATCTTCCATTTCCAGCCGCTTCCAAGAGATTAGGCAAGAACAAATTGTCGTGGGGGCCATAGACTTGATGAGGGGCAACGGAAATGGTGTACAAATTGGGTGGATCCAGAGCTTTTTCAACCACAATTTCCCCTTGCGCCTTTGTTTCGGCGTAGAGGGCCAAGAATTTCTTTGGAATTTCCATTTGGTCCTCGCGCAATCCTTCAATGTCGGCTCCCGTGAAACGAGTAGAGGGCGAGGAAGAGTAAACCAATTTGGTGACCTTGTACTTCTTGCAATTGGCAATGATTCGGTTGGTACCGTGTAGGTTGACTTGTTCGTACATTTCTGCTTTGTGAAACGGGCCAACCAAGGCAGCAATGTGAAACACCACGTCGACTTGTTCCGCCGCTTGGAATGCTTTTTCCACGGCTTCGTCGGAAGTCAAGTCTCCATCAGTCCGTCCCACTTTGTGAATCAATTTGCCAGCAAATTTCGCCTCGGCATCAGCAAAGCGCTTCTCCAAAACAGCGTCTGGCTTGGTAATGTCAAAACAAATGACGGTGGAAGCACCACGCTCGAGGAGCATTTCAACAAGGCGGGCACCACATAGTCCTGAGGAGCCCGTAACGAGGGCGGTGCAGCCTTTAGCTGTCTTGAAGCCAGGTTTCTCTTCTGCCATGGTTGCGGGGAGGGTTACTGATCGACGACGAGGACCAAATCCTTTACTGGTCGAAACCAAAAGTAATAGTAACAAGGCAAGGATCGCACTTCTATGCAGACCGGCCACCAAAGCCATGATTTTTGTCATTGCCACCTCGCGTGTTTGGTTGAGTTCTCTGGAGGGGATTCCGATTGAATCGAATCGAATCGAATTGAATCGATTTATATTCGACATATCGAACGTAATGATCCGATGTGAGTTTGTAGAGGAAGATCATCAAGCACTGCTCAGGAGTCCTGGTATCGTACGCCAAGACTATGCCAAGTAATGGTCTGGGGGCTACTAGCTAGTAGACCCAGATCCAGGAGATCCTGGAGTAGGCCAGGGTCAGGTATTGGCTCAGGTTCAGGTTCAGGAATGCAAACTCGGGTTCAGGAAAGCTAGCCACGTAGTAGTAGTTCGGAGACTTTGTGCTCGAAAATGGAGCGGAAAAGCTTTGGAAGATAGGACTTTGAGGGCAGTGGGTGAGGTGGATCGCAAGATCTGAGCTACCAGTACCGTTAGGCGGCAAAGGGGGTGGGCTGCCTGCACGATAGTGCTTCACAAAAGCAGCGCCTTGGTTTTCCTTCCGCGTCCCGGGCCAAGCAACTATCTGTCGCTGTTGTCTGATAAATAGATAAATAGATAAATAGATAAATAGATAAATAGATAGCTAAATAGATAAATATAAAGGAAATTATGTGAAAGGAACGTCACTAGGTAACGTCCCCTTGTAGAAAGTGTGGAAAGGGATCTAAAGGTTCAGGGCGTGAGCGACCCTCGCTAGAGCCCTTCCTCAGGAACAGCGGTAGTCAAGCAGTAGGGAGCCTCGGAGTGCCTCAGGAGTGTTCAACACCTCCAGTAGACACCAAACCAAGGACTTGGCCCTGTCAGTCAGACAGGGGGGGCAGCAGAGCTCTCTGCTGGGCCCTTTGAGCCAGCTCACCTCAGGAGCTGGAGCCTTCGCTATTCAATCAGTTTGAGGCAGTCTGGAGAACAGTATCTATCTATTCACCCTCCACTGCTTCTGCTCGGCCTACACAGGATGGGAATCTGACTGTGGAGGGATATAAGTTGAGCAACAAGCCTAGGAATGGATTACGTTTTCAATACGGTTTCACTTCATTAGCTATTTTCTAGACTATGATGGAAAGGACGATCCTTTCTTGCTGCTTTGGCTGGAGATAAGCCAGCTGTGTGTGCTGGAGCCGTATGCCAGCATAGCTGTTGGAGCTATCTCTGGCGGGATCCAGAGCTCTCGCTCCTAGACTTTATCGCTCCCCACGAGTGCGTATGGATCCGCTCTCATGGGTAAGCCACGAGGTACGACTCTAGCTAGTTACTATCTAACTATCTACAAACTCTCCCCATGAATGAAACATTCATGGACCACTCAGCATCAGCTGCTAGTGGGACACAATGTGAGATGGGGATCTCACAAGTGGAGGGACTTGTTCCTTGACCAAACAAGGCAGGCAATCGGATGCGTGGTTCATCAGCTTTGCCGGACTTGTAGGCAGGCACCGGCGTCGCTGGTTGCTGCCATAGTTCTCTTTTTCTTCATATGCAACAAATATTGTGGCGTTGCTACAGGCCGTGTCTAGCGGTGGCAAGCTCTCAGTGGAGCGGCCTTCTTGCCCCGCAATCATGTCCCTTGACGGATGGGATGGATGGGCTGTACCAGACAGGGACGTAGTCTAGTTGCCCGTCCGAAAATCCAGGGGCATCACCGGGATTGGTCCATTGCCATGCACTAATGCCATGGCAGCCAGCTTTGGGGTAGAAAGCATGGTGTCGATCAGCTTCTGGGAAGGGGACACCATGGCAGTCAGCTCCTGGGTAGGAGACACCAAAGCTGCCTTGGTCAAAGGTGCTTGCTGTGGTTGCTCCCCATTGATTCCACCACCAAGAGCAGAGGGTATCTGCTTGGTGGGCCTCCTGGCAAATGGACTGGTGATGGTTGGACCAAGGCTGGTCCTATCCAAAGACAATGGCACCTCATTGGGTACGAGTCTTGTGGCATTGGCTGTGCCATAGGTTGGTGGTTCTGTGGGAACCAGGCTGGGAACCTTGGGTGTCACTGTGGGTGATGGACCACTAGGTCTCCTGCCAATGTTGGTTGTGGTGGGACTCTTGTGTGCTCCGTGCCTTGAAGCAGGTGGCTTGGGGGTCACCACTGTGTGGGTCTGCTCTTGTGCTCTTGGTTGTAGGGCTGGCTGAGTGGGAGCCATGCTTGGTCTATTTGGATGTGCAACTGTAATGTTATTGGCCCCAGCTCTGGAAGCTGGTTGCTTGTTGGCTGGAGGTTTGGCCATCATGATCTCCCCAGAGGTTGGATGACTACTAGGGCTGGCAAGCTTGATAATCTCCCCATCATTCAACGATGGATGGGCATCAGCGAGGGCATTCAAGGGTGTGGCACTGGGCAGCTGGTGGCTCGTAGCTGGGACACGCAGTGGTCGTGTGACAGGCAACTTCCCACAAGCTAGCTTGGGAGATGGAGCCATGGCTACATTGGTGGGCAGCTGGTTGGTGGCCAAGAGGGCATCAGTCAATCGTTGCTGGATGGCAATGACATCTTGCTTGGAAAGAGTAGCCCTGCTGTGCTGCTGCTTCTTTGGGCTGTGGAGCCGTTGGGTACCACTACTGCTGGTCTCCCCATGAACTGATGGTGTCAAAGCAGGTGTAGATGCTGTGACAGGTGGCCTAGCAGCTACCACGACCAAGGCTTCCAGTTGAGTTGTCAGTTGGTCCTTCAAGGCGATGAACTGAGCTTCCATCTTTCGTTTGAAGGTTTCATGGTCAGCTCTCATGTCTTGCTTGAATGATTCGTCATCAGCTCTCATGAGGTCGAGTTGTCGAGCAACGGTGGCCTGTTGCTGTTGAAAGCGGATCAGCATGTCTTCCATGGCAGGACCTCTGTGGAAACGTCATTCGTGGAAACATACTTAACAGACGATACACCCAGGCATAGGAGACGATCGAAATGATTTAAGAGACGAAAGCAATCGTCTCCTATATTTAGGAGACGATTCAGCAGGAGACATTCCAATTAGGAGACGATCGTTTCGAAATAGGAGACGATCCGAAAGATTTAGGAGACGATACCATACAGTTTACATGGTACACTTAGGAGACGATCCGTTGAGAATAGGAGACGATCCGTTGAAAATAGGAGACGATTTAAGAGGAGACGAAAGATTTAAGAGACGATCCGTTTCGTCTCCTATTTTTAGGAGACGAAATCCATTAAATAGGAGACGAAAAAAGGATTTAGGAGACGATCGGTAGCACGACTCGAGTTTCCACAGAGGTCCTGGGGCATAAATGAGATCTGGGTGACGACTGGAGCTGTTGGGAGACAGCTCTGAAATCTCCCCATCACCCAGCTGGTGGTTGGTCCTACCATAGGCCATTGGTGCCGGCCTCTTCTCAAGGATATCAAAGGGTGATTTGTACGTGTCTGGTGGGAACACTGTGGACACAGGTGGTGCCGGTGTCTTCTCAAGAATGTCAAAAACGGATTTGTATTCATCTGGTGGCGACACTGGTGGCTGTGTGTCCCGATGCCGGTGGGGGTAGGCTAGGTTGCTGTTGCCAGCTCCATCGTGGTGTGTGGGGCTGGCACAAGCGGTGTAGCTACCTTGGACTTGGGGCCCAGGGTAGGCACGGTGCCACCAACGTTCAGAGTAGCCAGGGGCATAAGGGTCGTTCACATCGCTGTAGAATGACATGGTGCCTCTTGTGGTTGCTAAGGAAGAGGTGTACCTGTTGCAATACACGGCTCTTAGCCTTATTCGCGACTCGATCCTAGATAGGGTTTGAGTTCAACTCATGACTGAGTCTTTCGTGAATAGTCATTTGAGACAGGGTTCTCATGACCGCTAGTCATACTAGGTCGATGTGAAACATCGCCTAGATATTTAGCTGGCGTGGAGAATTCCACGCTACTAGATAAATGCTAGACGAACTTCCACGCGTTCCGTTTTGGATCGTGGAGTGAGTAGGATTGACCGCAACCTACTCTATCACCTCTACAGTCTCCCGCGGGAGTTCAGATCTACGATCCTTTTGATGTGGATCTTCTCGTTGATTAGTTTTCATAGCTTTCTAATCCTCTCATAACTTTCATTCTCTCAAACTCAAAACACTCGAAAGATCTTTACACTAGCTTTTAGCGTAGTGCATTTTGTTAACAAACACAATAGCTTTCAGCTACCCTCAACCTATTCTCACCATGAAGATTGCCAAAAACGCTACACCAGCTTCGAGTCTAAGCTGCGGACAAACCAATCCTTCCTCTCATCGACCCGACGATGAATGCGAAATCGACGATCTCGCTCCACCACCTACAAACTTCGCATGTCCAGCAGATGCTGACAGCCCAAGTACACCTTCAAGGTCCAAATCATCAATGGATCTGAGACTCCACGTCAAACCATCAAGTGGGCTGGATGTATGGAGAAGGTCTTCATCGGCTCGCCATTGCTACGCTGACGACAAACATAACCTCCTCAAGGAGATGACTTCTAGCTCTGCCAAAGAGCAGTTACGAATTAGCTGTGCAGGCATCGTGAATACGTTGGAATGCCTTTGCGCCAGATTCAGTCAACACGATTGCCCACGCGACGTACGTGGCGTGAAGACGAAGCCGCTTTCCAAGTACGTTTCCAGTGCTGCCTGGAACGGAGCAGCTCAGCCTGCTTTGGACGATACTGACATTACGTTTGGCATAAATGCCTGTATCGAAGCGGTCTGTCCCTACAAGGCTCTTGAAAAGCAGAACGCTTCATGCGCGCAAGATGCGTAAGCCTGCTGATATACTACTGGGCTTATGTCAACAACCTCAGTCGGATGAACGCCGATGAACTTCCTCGTCTACCACCTTTTGGACCCAACCAAACGTTGAACCATGACGAAGTCATTGACATTGTTTGTCATGAAATTCCACGCTCGTGGATGAAGAAGATGGACGAACA